AGCATGGTTAACATAGGTAGCATGATTAGCATGGGTAGCATAGTTAGCATGGGTAGCATAGTTACCATGGTTAGCATAATTAGCATAGGTAGCATAGTTAGCACGGGTAGCATGGAGAGCATGATTAGCATAGTAAGCATGGTTAGCATGGGTAAAATGGTTAGCATAGTTAGCATTGGTAGCATGGTTAGCATGGGTAGCATAGTTAGCATGATTAGCATGAGTAGCGTAGTTAGCATGGGTAGCATAGTTAGCATGGGTAGCATAGTTAGCACGGGTAGCATGGAGAGCATGATTAGCATAGTTAGCATGTTAGCATGGGTAAAATGGTTAGCATAGTTAGCATGGGTAGCATGGTTAGCATGGGTAGCATAGTTAGCATGATTAGCATGAGTAGCGTAGTTAGCATGGGTAGCATAGTTAGCATGGTTAGCATCATTAGCATGGAGAGCATGGTTAGCATGGGTAAAATGGTTAGAATAGTTAGCATGGGTAGCATGGAGAGCATGGTTAGCATAGTTAGCATGGGTAAAATGGTTAGCATAGTTAGCATGGTTAGCATCATTAGCATGGGTAGCATGGAGAGCATGGTTAGCATGGTTAGCATGGGTAGCATGGTCAGCATAGTTAGCATGGGTAGCATGGTCAGCATAGTTAGCATGGGTAGCATGGTTAGCATGATCAAGCAGTCCTCTGCAGACCTGAACCTCCTCTCTGATCCCAGCAGCTTCCTCTACAGGTTTAAAAAAACTTCCCATAATCCTTCACTCTTCCTGTTCTGAGACGCTGTCCCGGTCCAACAGGCTCCGTCTGAGCAGCCATTTTCTCCCTAAACAGAATAAATCCTTATTTTAGTCATTTTAATCTGACCAAGTTTCCTTTAATCAATTAAAGCTTGTTAGCATCACTGCCGTCACTAAAGTTCTGCTAATGTTTTAATAAGTTTCTGCTGAAAGCGGAGCTGCAGCTCAGATTAAAATAATCCGGCCTGTTTCTGAGCTGAAGGTCCTCACTGCTGACAATCCAACATGGCCACCAGTGGCTGTCCGTCTGTTGGTCTGATTAAAGCAGAATCCCCCCCCCCCTGCTATGTGGACCACCCTCTGCCCACGCGCATAGCTCAGCCTGTGGGTGTAAAAATAGCCAGGCGGGGGGCGGGGGGGCTGATAGTGGTCAGAGTTGGAGTCAGAGGAGAAGCTAGCAGAGCTGCCTGGATCCTGGACACTTAACCCCCCTCCCCCTCTGGTTTCTCTGTGGATTATTGATGGCGGCCGTCCACCATGGGCAACGCAGCCCTCTGTAAGGTGTGCGGCTCAGACAAAGGCCTGAGACCCGCCGTGACCCGGACCGACCCGGACGGCCACCCGGGACCGGACTACTTCTGCCCCCAGCATTTCCCTGCTCAGCTGATGCTGGTAAGAGCTTCCTGTGACAGGTGCAGCGCCGGCAGCCGCTATTTTTACCCTCAACCTTCCTCTGATCATCGTCTTCATCACTAACCATCCTCAGAGGTTTGGCTCGGGGGGGGG